GACGCGCGAAAAAGAGGCCAGCGCAAAGAGTGCGGCTGGCGCGCCTCCACAAAATGATGTATCGTCTCCAGGACGATCAGCCTGCGCGGGCGTGCGCGAGGGGGAGCCGCACATGAGCGTGCTACCTCCCGAGGTCTCGAGGCGCACAGCGCAGGGAGCCGGCGGCTTTGCGCGCGGATTTGAGACAAGGTGCCGGTGCAGAGCAAGAGCGGGCGCGCGCGCGCACTCATTGTCCTCCTCGTCGACGCAGGCCAAGAAGTACAGCGACGCGTATCTGCGGCGGCGAGAGGCGGCGGGCGCTGAGTGGCAGAGCAGACGAGAGACAGAGCGGGTGCAGAGCCGTCGCCGCGAGCGGCTGGAGGGCCGGCCCACGATGTGGCGCGGAGAGGGGAGCGCGGCGCGCGCGGTCGGCGCACCGCTTGTAAATAATCTTCTTGTCCTTGTACTCGAGGAAGTTGCACTGCTTTTGCTGGCGCGAGAGCACGACTGCCGACACCTCGCGCACCGCGCGCGCCCGCTCCTTTGAGGGCATCGCAGAATACCACTTTGTTAGCCGCACCTTGCCCTGCCGGCTGATGAGCAGCACGAAGTGGATGCCCATCGCGAGGCCTGTAGCTCGTCAGCGCGGCTGAACGCCGGCAAAAAGGCGCTGTGTGCTGCACTTTAGGATTCAGTACTGGGGTCTCGCGGTTCTGTTGACTCCAATCCGAACCTGGCTGTTCTTCACCTTCCTATACATGCATACATACCTGTGTTACCATCATCGCCCGTCCTGCGTCCACCCATACCGTGCTGGTGTCCCAGTCGTTGGCCGGACTGTGTTTCGCCTTCCCATCAGGGCACCACAGGGGTATCTATATTTCCATCGAGCATCGTGCATCGAGCATCATCGGGGTAGGCAGGTAAATCCTGCTGTCGCACCCGGTATTATTTTTTTCGGGCATTTCGATCATCTGCGCCGCTCGCTCACCCACTGCTCTCGCTCTTCGTGCGCCGCTGCGCCGCCCTCGCTGCGCTCTAGCCTAGGACCGCACGTCTGCTTGGTGTCCTCCGCCCACCCGCTCGGCGCCACGCAACGTCACAACCTCACCACCCACTCCAATAGCATTAGCATGCTTGATCCCGTGGC